GGGCTCCATGCTCAGGGGTGAGCTTGCTTGAGGCTCTCTTCCTCTCCCTTTCTCCTTCTTGCTCTTTAAAATAAATAAGTCTCTCTTTTTTTTTTAATTATTTATTCATGAGAGAGGCAGAGGGAGAAGCAGGCTCCCTCTGGGGAGCCCGTTGTGGGATTCGATCCCTGGACCCCAGGATCGTGCTCCGAGCTGAAGGCAGATGCTCAACCACTGAGGCACCCAGATTTTCCAAGATAACCTCTTATTAAGCCATTTACCTAGCTAAGATCCTCTTTCAGTTATTTAGCCTTCTGCAAGTTGCTTTATAAAGGCAAATAGCAAAATTTTAGATATTCAGAAAATTTGGTATTGGGAAAAAGGAACTGAATAGTTGATTGATGAGTCCCAAGAAATGAGAGCAAGGCTGGAGAATCCTTTAGCTTCTGTTTTTCATTCTATTTTGATTGTTTTTGAATGCTAATAGGCTTGATGGTAGTACAGTCATTCATCCCCTTCCTCATCTATAAATTAAGTCCTTATTTGAGGAAATGTAGGTTTCAAGCTACATAAATCCCTCTGGGGAAAAAGGATTGTTTGTCTCTAACGATGAGAGGCAGTATGGAATAGTGTTAAAAGCTTGGAATTTCTAGGCCACCTCATAGTAAGTGTATAGCCTTGTGTAAGTTGGCCATTACATATTTTCTCTCTGCCTTACTGTCCTTCTTTATAAATGGTGATAGTAAGAGAATCTATTTGGGTTGTGAGAATAAAGGAGCCGTATATATCTTCACCCATACGTGTATCAACATAAGTTAGATCAAAGGATATATGCGTTCTTTTTTTAAGATTTTATTTATTTATTCATGAGGACACACACACACACACACACAGAGAGAGAGAAAGAGAGAGGCAGAGGCAGAGGCAGAGACACAGGCAGAGGGAGAAGCAGGCTCCATGCAGGGAGCCCTATGTGGGACTCAATCCCAGGTCTCCAGGATCACGTCCTGGGCTGAAGGAGGACTAAACTGCTGAGCCGCCCGGGCTGCTTTTTAAATGTGCATGTAGACTTTATTTTACATTGTATTTATATCTTATAAAAACCTTTACAGTTACTTAAAATTTAAAAAATATTTAGGCATGGGCGCCTGGCTGTTGGTAGAGCACGCTATCCTTGATCTTGGGGTTGTGAATTTGAGCTCCATGTTGAGTGTAGAGCTTAAAAAAAAGTTCAGGGACATAAAAATTTTCATAAAACATAATATGTAATGTAATTAAAAAACAATAACTACCAGTGTACTGACCTGGCTTAAAAAAAATAAAACAATTGGCAGCCCTGGTGGCTTAGCGGTTTCGCTCCACCTTCAGCCCAGGGTGTGATCCTGGAGACCCAGGATCGAATGCTACATCAGGCTCCCAGCATGGAGCCTGCTTCTCTCTGTCTGTCTCTCTCTCTCTCTCTAATAAATAAATAAAAAATATTAAAATAAATAAATAAATAAATAAAACATTATGCATATGTACACTGCTCAAAGCGGTGGTGTTTATAATAGCAAAAAAACTGGAAACAACCTAAATGTCTACTGGCAGTAGAATAGATAAATTATGAGATGTGTCATTTATAGGTACAAAGTAATGGCATGGATATATTTCATGGAAGTGTTCACACAAGTATATTCTATTCATATGAAGTTCAAAAATATATAAAATTGAATATTATTTAGAGATACAAATCGGGAAATCACAAAGAAGCATATTAAAGATTTTATTTATTTATTCATGAGAGACAGAGAGAGAGAGAGAGAGAGAGAGAGAGAGAGAGAGAAACATAGAGAGAAGCAGTCTCCATGCAGGGAGTCTGATGTGGGACTCGATCCCGGGTCTCCAGGATCACACCCTAGGCCGAAGGCAGGTGCTCAACCACTGAGCCACCCAGGCATCCCTGAGCCACCCAGGCATCCCACAAAGAAGCATATTAAAATAAAAATCAGAATGTTGGTCACTTCTGAGAAAGTAGGGAAGGGAATATATTGATGGAAATAATTACAGGGGATTTATTAATTAATTTATTTAAAGATTTTGTTTATTCATGAGAGAGACAGAGAGAGAGGCAGAGAGAGAAGCAGGTTCCATGCAGGGAGCCTGATGTGGGACTCGATCTAGAATCACTCCTGGGCTGAAGGCAGGTGCTCAACCGCTGAGCCACCCAGGTGTCCCTGATTACAGGGGAATTTCTTTTTTTTCCCCAGGGGATTTAAAAGGAAATAGAATGTTCTTTTGTTGTTAGAATGTTCTTAAATTGAGTATTAGGTAAATGGATGTTCGTTATATTTCTCATATCCTGCATAGTATATAAATATTCTTTTGTTCTTATCTAATACTTAACAATAATCTTTTAATTTTTTTTTAAAGATTTATTTATTTATGATAGACAGAGAGAAAGAGAGGCAGAGACAGGCAGAGGGAGAAGCAGGCTCAATGCTGGAAACCCGATGCAGGACTCAATCCTGGGACTCCAGGATCGTGCCCTGGGCCAAAGGCAGGTGCCAAACCTCTGAGCCACCCAGGGATCCCCCAATAATCTTTTTAAAAAAGAAAACGTTACAAATATAGTCCAAGTCCAGTGTATTCTTTCACAAATGTATTCTCTTTATTTCAGAGATAACCACATCCCTCAATTTAGAATTTATTATCTGCAGTTCTCTAACCCTAGTATTATGTTGCAGACATAGGAAACAGCAAGATTCAAGGAATGTTACAGTTATATTAGCATTTTCAGTGGTAACTTGGCACTCTTAATCTCAGTGGTTTGTCAAGATTGTGTCATGGAGGGGCACCTGGGTGGCTCAGTGTTTGAGCGTCTGCCTTTGGCTCGGGGCATGATCTTGGGGTCCTTGCAGGGAGCCTGCTTCTTCCTCTTCCTTTGTCTCTACCTCTCTTTCTTGGTCTCTCATGAACAAATAAATAAAATCTTAAAAAAAATAATTGTGTCATGTTATATATGATTTATATTATATATTTAAGTATGTTAAGTTTATATATAAATTTATATATATATTAAATATGCAATACCAATGTATTTAATATTAAATATAGTATTTGCATTTATATTATATTAAAAGGATAATTACATAGCTACCTCCCAATTCAAATGCAGGCAAACATCATCAGTGGCTTACATACTATATTCTGTGGATATACTTGATTTTCAGAGAATCAATCCCTTATTTTAGTATATTTAAGTTGTTTCTAGATTTAAAAAGATAGAAAGCAATGTTTATTCTCTAAATTTGTGCACAGGCCCAATATAAAAATTGGGTCATGTTCTAATGGATATTTGCTATGACATTTGTCTTTTTTTTTTTTTTTTCCACTTAGACCCTATTCCATGTCAGTGCTATAGATACATCCTTTTTTTTTCTTTTTTTAAGATTTTATTTATTCCAGAGAGAGAGAGCAGGGGAAGGAGCAGAGGAGAGGGACAAATACAGTCTGCACTGAGTGCAGACCTGGACATGGAGCTTGATTCTAGGACCTGGAGCTCATGACCTGAGAGGAAACCAAGACTTGGATACTCAGTTGGCTGAGCCACCTAAGCACCCTTTTTTAAAAAACTGCTTACCAACATAGTTTTCATTGTATATATGTATAATAAAATTTTATCATTTCTTTATTGATGGACATTTAAGCTATTTACAGATAATATTGCTAGGAATATCCTTATGCTTATGAATTTGAGGGAGTATTTCGGTATTTGTGGTCCTGGAAATGGGACTTGCTAGTTCAAAGAGTAAATATTTCAAATTTCCAGATTGCCAGGTTGCCCTCTAAAAAGGTTGTGCCATTTGACCCTTGGTAATGGAGAGGAGGGGTGTCTTCCCTCCTGCCTAAGATTAGGCAAGATCTTGTAATGCTCTGTATTTTCATAACTTTCACAGCAGTTGTCTGTTGTTAATTTTCAGTAATTTACCCGCATTGGCTAGCACAGTGTCACTCAGTTATGGCAGATATTTAGTAAGGACAGGATAAATTGAAAGTTCTGCCTGTAGTTTGCATGTGTTAAAAGTGGGAAGTTAGAGTAAATTTGCTCTTCTGGTTTATTTTTTTGCACAGTTTCTCTTTTCTAAACTTGACCTCTTTGACAAGAAGTTCTAGTGGTTTGTGGATCTTTAGGTTTTGTATGTCTTTACATAATTTTCTTCTGCCAGCTGGTTTTGTTTGCTGCTGAGAAAGTTGAACTTGTCACGTTATTGGTGGCTCCTTCCTGCCCTCTTTTTTTTAATTTATTTTTTATTATTATTTTTTTATTTATGATAGTCACACAGAGAGAGAGAGAGGCAGAGACATAGGCAGAGGGAGAAGCAGGCTCCATGCACCGGGAGCCTGACGTGGGATTCGATCCCGGGTCTCCAGGATCGCGCCCTGGGCCAAAGGCAGACGCTAAACCTCTGCGCCACCCAGGGATCCCTCCTTCCTGCCCTCTGTACAAGTTGTTGAAGGCCCTGGCTCTGCTTTCAACCTAAGATAGTGTTCATTCTCCAGAAGGGCAATCTCCTTTGACTCCAGTGTCTTTCTTTAACCTGGTCCACTGTTTTGTGTATTGATGATTTTTCTTTTAATAGAAGCGATGAGGCGGCCTTTTTCTAGTTTTAGCTATGTGATATCTTTTATTTCTTCTTTTTTTAAAATTTCTTTTTTTGGGGCACGTGGGTGGCTCAGTTGGTTAATCGCCTGCCTTCAGCTCAGGTCATGATCCTGGGATTGAGCCCTGCCGCAGGCTGTATGCTCAGGGCTAGCCTGCTTCTCCCTTTCTTCCCTCTGCTGCTCCCGTTGCTCGTGTTCTCTTTCAAATAAGTAAAATCGTTTAAAAAAAAAAACAACACTTTTTTGTCCTTTTAAGGTAGAAAAGTTGTACACGTTTTAAGTAACACCAGTGATTTTCCAATAAAACTTAATTCCTTTAAATATATATATTTATAAAACATTTTATTCCAGTGCCATTCATTTTTACTTTTGTTTAGATAACCTCAAAATCTCTGACTTTGGCTTGGCAACAGTGTTTCGGCATAATAATCGTGAACGTTTATTGAACAAGATGTGTGGTACTTTACCTTATGTTGCTCCAGAACTTCTAAAGAGAAAAGAATTTCATGCAGAACCAGTTGATGTTTGGTCCTGTGGAATAGTACTTACAGCAATGTTGGCTGGAGGTAAGAGCTATTTAATCATGGTGAAACTCCTGTCCTATGGAAAGCCAGATTTATTATACCAAAATAAATGAAACAAACCAAGAGAATCCATATTTATATATATTTTAATAGTGATTTTATTTATAACTAATATGGAACTTGGAATCCCAAAGCTTTTTAAAAATGAGGTATGTATACCTTTTAAATGAAATATTACAATACCAATCTTTTAAGATTCGTGTGAATAAGTTTGGAAACAGGGTGGGTGGAAGTGGTTCATCCATTTTTGAAATACCTCTAAAATTTCTGTGAGTTGGTATTCTTGGTTTGAAAAACATATTGAATTAATTTGGAGGAAACTTTTAATGGATTTGTATCATTGACTAGGATTTGCATCATTGACTATTTTTCTTTAAAATCTTTACTATATAATGTGAATACTCAGAAAACCATGACTTGTTTCTTTTTTAGAATTACCATGGGACCAGCCCAGTGACAGTTGTCAAGAATATTCTGATTGGAAAGAAAAAAAAACATACCTTAACCCTTGGAAAAAAATTGATTCAGCTCCTCTTGGTAACTGAGTTATATTGATTGAAACTACTGATTTCTTATATAATGAAACCTAGTGATGTTTGAATTTTTTCATTTTATATACATATATATATATATATTTTAAAGATTTTTATTTATTTATTTATGAGAGACACAGAGAGAGGCAGAGATAGGCAGAGGGAGAAGCTGGCTCCCTGCGGGGGAGCCCAAAACAGGACTTGATCCTGGAACTCCTGGATCATGCCCTGAGGCAAGGGCAGACACACAACTCTGAGCCACCCAGGCTTCCCTCCTTTTTTTTTTTTTTTTAAAGATTTTATTTATTTATTCATGAGAGACACAGAGAGAGAGGCAGAGACACAGGCAGGGGGAGAAGCAGGCCCCATGTAGGGAGCCCGATGTGGGACTTGATCCCCGGGACTCCAGGACCATGCTCCAGGCCAAAGGCAGGCGCCAAACCGTTGAGTCTCCCAGGGATCCCCATGGCTTCCCTTTTACTTTTCTTTGTTGTTGTTGTTGTTTTTAGAGTTTCCCTCTTTTTAACTTTTAAATAATCACATAAGTAATCCATAATCCTTGCAGATAGATTGGAAAATAATAATTTAAAAAAAGCTGTATAATCCCAGCACTTAGAAATAGCTTCTTTTAATATTTTGACATGCAGTTCTACACTTTAAATTTTTTTTTTTAATTTTTATTTATTTATGTTAGTCACAGAGAGAAAGAGAGAGAGGCAGAGACACAGGCAGAGGGAGAAGCAGGCTCCATGCACCGGGAGCACGACGTGGGATTCGATCCCGGGTCTCCAGGATCGCGCCCTGGGCCAAAGGCAGGCGCCAAACCGCTGCGCCACTCAGGGATCCCAGTTCTACACTTTATTGTAAAAATGTTGGGACACCTGGGTGGCTCAGAGGTTAAGCATCTTCAAGTCACACGTCGGGCTCCCTGCACGGAGCCTGCTTCTCTCTCTACCTGTGTCTCTGCCCCTCTCTTTCTGTGTCTCTCATGAATAAATAAAATCTTTAAAAAAATAACAAAAAAATGTTTTACAAATATTTGTTACATATGTGTATTATTTATAAGTATTTGCGTTTTTATAGAAAATGAGATCACACTACATACGCTATTTTATAACCTGTTTTTTTGTCTTAATGCTGTTGACATGGACATTCTTCCATGACTGTAACTATAGGTCTACATCATTGTTTTTAAAGGCTGTAAAACATCATTGTTTTAAAGGATGGAATTATGCTGTGTGGGTATATTTTACCTTATTCATCCAATTCATTTTCTTTGGAGATTTATATATTTTAAAAATTTTCACTTATGAAAGCAATATGATGATCATTCACATAATGCACATACACCAAATTAAAAAATAAATTCACAGGATGCCTGGGTGGCTCAGCAGTTAAGTGTCTGCCTTAGGCTCAGGTCGTGACCCTGCGATCCTGGGGTTGAGTCCCACATCGGGCTCCCTGCGTGGAGACTGCTTCTCCCTCTGCATATGTCTCTGCCTCTTTCTCTCTGTATCTCACATGAATAAATAAAATCTTTAAAAATATAAATAAATCAGCAGAAAAAAAAATAAAGTCGTTTAAAAAACAAAACAAGGGATCCCTGGGTGGCTCAGTGGTTTAGCGCCTGCCTTTGGCCCAGGGTGTGATCCTGGAGACCTGGGATCGAGTCCCACGTTGGGCTCCCTCCATGGAGCCTGCTTTTCCCTCTGCCTGTGTCTCTGCCTCTCTCTCTCTCTGTGTATCTCATGAATAAATAAATAAAATCTTAAAACAAATCCAGAAGTGTCAGGGATATATGCAGTTTTTAATTATTATGGTTTACCTGGCCAAATTGCTTTTTTTTTTTTAATTTTTTTAATTTTTATTTTTTGTTTTTTTTTAAGATTTTATTTATTTATTCATGAGAGACACACAGAAAGAGAGGCAAAGACACAGGCAGAGGGAGTAGCAGGCCCCATGCAGGCAGCCTGACGTGGGATTCGATCCCGGGACTCCAAGATCATGTCCTGGGCCAAAGGCAGGTGCTAAACCACCGAGCCACCCAAGGATCCCTGCCAAATTGCTTTTTAGAGAGTTTGTATCATTTCATCACAATTTCATTAGTTTATATTTAAAAAAATTTTTTTTAAAGATATATTTATTTTAGACCTGAGAGTGTATGCAGTGCACATGTGCAGTGGGGAGGGATAGAGAGTGTCTTAGCCAGACATTAAGCATGGAGCCCAACATGGGGCTCCATCTCAGGACTCTGAGATCACAACTTGAGCAGAAATGAAGTTGATTGCTTAACTGGCTAAGCCACCCAGGCACCCCTATATTCACTGTTTCTTATTTTAAATTTAATACCAGTTAGGTTGTATATCCATTGTTAGCTTTTTGTCCATTTTTGTGAATGATCTGTTTTGCTCACTTGTGGCAGGGAGGTTTTCTTACTATTTTGTATGGGTTCTTTTTTTTTTTAAACATTAATGTCATTAGAGCTTTGCTTTAGTTACAAGTGTTTTTCACAATTTGCCATGCGTTTTTATTTTGTTTATGCTATTTTCACAAGCAGAAGTTTATATTTTTATTCAAATCTATTATTTTGTCCTTTGCAATTTTCTGACTATATTGTTATGTTTGGAAAGATATTCCCTAGACCTAACTTAAAAAAAAATTCCCTGTGTTTTTATGGCTTCAGTTTCTCGTATAAATCTTTGTCCCATTAGAAAATAATTTTGGGGGCAGCCCAGGTGGCTCAGCAGTTTAGCGCCGCCTTCAGCCCGGCGTGATCCTGGGGACCTGGGATCGAGTCCCACGTCAGGCTCCATGCATGGAGCCTGCTTCTCCCTCTGCCTGTGTCTCTGCCTCTCTCTCTCTGTGTCTCTCATGAATAAATAAAATCTTTAAAAATAATAGTAATAATTTTGGGGAGCGTATGGGTGGTTCAATCAGTTAAGCATCTGCCTTAAGCTCAAGTCATGATCTCAGGGTTCTGGGATCAAGCCCTGCATCAGGCTCCCTGCTCAGTGGGGAATCTCCTTCTCCCCCTACCCTTGCACTGTCCCTCTGTGCTTTCTCTCTCTCTCTCAAATAAAATTAAAAAAAATTTTTTTTTTGGCTTTTGAAGATATATGAATTCTTCATCAAGATAGTTAAGATACTTTAGGGTGATAGGTGCGTACATGATTATCTCTTATCTCTTTTCTTATTGGAAAGTAAATTTTCTTTATAAAACTGTGTGCGTGAGGACATAACATGATATATTGGAACAATGAGTTTGGTATTGAAAATGGATGAGGGGGATCCCTGGGTGGCGCGGCGGTTTGGCGCCTGCCTTTGGCCCAGGGCGCGATCCTGGAGACCCAGGATCGAATCCCACATCGGGCTCCCGGTGCATGGAGCCTGCTTCTCCCTCTGCCTGTGTCTCTGCCCCCACCCCCCTCTCTCTCTCTCTCTCTCTCTCTCTGTGTGTGTGTGTGTAACTATCATTAATAAATAAAAATTAAAAAAAAAAAAGAAAGAAAATGGATGAGGGTTTTTGTATCTTTTTGTTAATGTGTGTCACACGCGAAGAAACATTTCCACCTGGCTCCTGCTCTGCTTACTTGCAGACAACTGAGAATCAGATCTACGAACTGGTATTCTAAGATATAGACAGTAGCAAAGAGCAATTACATGAAATTAAAGCAATAATATAGTAGCTTATTTTTTCTCTTGCCCAGAAGTATTTGGATATAAAGAGACTAATAGAGACTATGTTCCACAGCACAAGTTTCTAATCTGCATGACTATTTTGTAAATGTTGCATTCTAATCTCATAACTATTTTGTAAATATCGTATTAATATTTTTATTTCAGCTTTGCTGCATAAAATCCTAGTTGAGAATCCATCAGTAAGGATTACCATCCCAGACATCAAAAAAGATAGATGGTACAACAAACCACTCAAGAAAGGTAATATCCTGAAAATACAAGTATTTTTTCTGTGAAAGAAAAGACAATTGAGTCAGTATCACGAGTCAACAGCACAAGATAGCTGTTATCTCTGTCCTCAGGTTGGTTATAATGTCTAGTAGGGAAAAGAGAAATACAAAATAATTTTACAGTTTATTAATAAAATGGAAAGTCAGAGTACTATAGCTAAGCGTATGACCAAGTCTTAAATGACAGAGAAACCTTGTCTTCCTGGGGAAATCACATTAAATTTAAGGTCTGAAGATTAAAGGGGAGCTAGCCAGATGAGTACTAGCAAGATGAGTGACAGTTTCTTTGGAACAGAGGAAGCAGCATTCTGGAGAGTCTTGGAATTTGGAAGGTGGTACATTTGAGGAACTTGAACGAAGGCCAGTATGGCATGGACCATGTCTTTCTTGTTCATCATGGTGTCACCAGTGGTTAGCATGGTGTGTGGTACGTTGTAGGCTCTCAGTAAATGTTTGTTGAGTAGATGAGTGAATAAAGAATAGGAAGAGGGAGACAGGTTTGAGATGAAGGTAGAGAGGTAGATAGTGACCAAATTGTAGAGGGGGACCTTGTAAACCACATTTGGGATTTTGGGCATTAACTTAAGGCCATTGAGGAAGTTTTAAGAGATTTTAAGCCAGGAAATAACATCGTATATTTGGTTTTAAAATATCTTTCTGGCGGGGATCCCTGGGTGGCTCAGCGGTTTGGCGCCTGCCTTTGGCCCAGGGCATGGTCCTGGGGTCCCGGGATCGAGACCCATGTCGGGCTCCTGGTATGGAGCCTGCTTCTCCGTCCGTCTGCCTGTGTCTCTGCCTGTCTCTCTCTCTCTCTCTCTCTCTCTCTCTCTCTCTCTCTATCATGAATAGATAAATAAAATCTTTAAAAAAAAAAACATCTTTCTGGCTTTTTTTTTTTTTCATTGTTTATGACATTTTTGATCTTAGATGTGAGTAGACGGTACCTTGCATGAGCTTTAGTAGCAATGGGCTTGGAAGGAAGAGGTAGATTCCAAAGAAATATACAGTCTACAATTGATAGACTGGTGATTGTTTATATGTGGAAAATGAAGGAGGATGAGGAATCTGGGATGACTCCTTTCTGGGTTGGCCAACTCAGAAAATGATGGTGCCATTTACTAGGATATACCTCAGGAAAAACAGAATTGGGAAATTTTATTGATTTTGGACATGTTGAATTTTAGAAGTAAAAACTGTCTAAAAAGGAGATGTATGCTGTGTGTGTGTGTGTGTGTAACTGAGGAGACAGGACCAGGCGTGAGATCTCAATATTTGGGTGTTCTCTGCAAATAGATGGTAGTTTAAACTGGTAGATGAAATTGAGTATGTGAAACTTTAAGGAATGCCAACATTTAAGTGGTAGGTAAGGGCCAGGAAAACAGAAAAATAGCCAAAGAGATTGGGGGGGGGAACATCAGGAGAATATGGAGGGATTGAGGCTAAGAGAAAAAAATGCATGACAGTAGCAGATACTGTTAATGAATTAATAACATGAAGCCTAAAAGTTTGCCCAGTAGTTATTTGTGTTTGTGGCAGGAACAGATTTGGTGGAGAGCTGGGAGTAATTGTCGAGTACAGTGATTGTAGTCTAAAAGAGAGATAATGAAGCAGAGGGTAGACAGCTCATTCTGGCTGTGAATGAGAGGAAAGAGGACAATGGCTAGAGATGAGTGAGTTTTTAACTCTTCTCTGAATGCATCTTTTATTTTTTTAAGATTTTATTTATTCATGAGAGCATGAGAGACAGAGAGAGGCAGAGACATAGGCAGAGAGAGAAGCAGGCTCCTTGCAGTGAGTCCGATGCGGGACTTGATCCCGGGACTCTACGATCATGCCCTGGGCCGAAGGCAGGTGCTCAACTGCTGAGCCACCCAGGCATTCTCTGAATGCATCTTTTACCTTTCACTCTGTTCTAACAGGAATCCAGCTCTCCCTTGAGAACACAGGCTTCCTCCAGTGGTAGCTGTTTTCTTTCCCACACTCTCCTACCTTTGAATCTGAGAGTGGGCAAGCATCCTTTTTGTCCTTCGTTGCCACTTTCTGCCTTTTCCTCACATTTCTCCCCTGCTTCATTTTGAATTTCATATCAGATTATCACCCGCTGTTCCATCCTTGTTACAGTAAGCTTTTGAACCTCCAATTAAAATTCTTGTCACATTGTCACTCTCTCCAACTCTTGATGTACATTTTGTCATGGTTCTTGGTGATTTAAATATTCATTTGGATGATCCGTCCAATATTCTGAATTTATATTTCCTGGATTGTCTCTTCAAGCATCCTGCTTTGACTACTGTTACATTTTCCTGGTTTCCTCTATTTCCCTGACTCCAGCAATCCTTTGACCCTACCTAGATATGCAATTCACTAATCTACTTCCTTTTCACTATTTCTTATTTGCCCCCTCCCTAGGTCCTTAGCTCCATCCTCATTACTTTATTTATTATTACTATTTTAAAATATTTTATTTATTCATGAGAGACACACACAGAGCGGGGGGGGGGGGAGGGCAGAGAGAGACACACAGGAAGAGGGAGGAGAAGCAGGCTCCATGCAGAGAGCCAGATATGGGACTCGATCCTGGGACTCTGGGATCATGCCCTGAGCCAAAGGCAGACTCTGAGCCGCTGAGCCACCCAGGCATCCCATCCTCATTACTTTAAATCCCAGGGTCAGTTATTATAATGACTCCTTTACATTCAGCTTCAGCTTTCCAGCCCTGTTTGCTCTTCACCATGGTTACTGGTCAAAACCTAACCCAAGTTTAATCCAGTTTTCTGCCTACTGTACACTTAACACCTGCTCAGCGGATCACATTTGGACCAGAATATTAACTTTAAATTCAGGATCACTAATCTCAAGTGAGCCCTTAATTCTGCCTGTCAGTTATAATGCATTTCTCCACTTCTTTCACAGCCTCACTCTCCTAAATCACATGTATATACTTTTTTTTTTTTCCTTTCAACTTTGAATGCCTCTTTTCCCATCCTCACTCTCAGTTGGTGACAGCATTTCCTATTTCACTGAGAAATAGACACAGTCACAAAGGAACTTCTACAGGCTCCAGTCATCACCTCCACTCACCTAACCAGCAGCCTCTGTGCTCATATACTCTGCTTTCTCTTTGTTGCTATGAATAAATTGTCTGCTCCAGTTATAAGCCAATTCTCTTTCTCTTGTACTTGAGACCCAGTTCTCTTGCTTACTCAGGGACATTATCTAGCAACTCTTCAGTCTTCCTCCTGCATCGTTAATTTTTCTGTATTAACTTTCCCATCAGCATACCAGCATGCTGTTTCTTTCATCTTACTGCCTGATCCATCGGAGGCTTACTAAAATATTTGGATGAAGGAATTAATAAATAAAATGTTTGGCTAAATATAAGTGTGTTTAAATGGTTTAGGGACAGTTCCAGTTGAGAGGGAAAAAGGATGAAGGTATAAGAGAGAAGGAATGAAGGAGCATCAAGACCCCTGAAAAGATAGGAAGGTATGGGGTTCAGGTATGAGTAGAGGGATGGGCATTAGATGGGAGCCTGGAAGGGAGGGAAGGATGAGTCGCAATGCAAGTAAATTGGCAGATTTATTAAAGGCAAGTTGAGGGAGTTTCTAATGACGTTATTTTCTTTGTGCAGTGGGAGATGGTATCCTGTACTATGTAATAAGGAACTGGAGGGTGGGTGGTTGTGGGAATTTGATAAGAATGTAGAAGTTTTGAAGCAGTCATTATGGAGAAAGGGAGAGGAAGCTGACTGAAAAACATAGGACTATCAGTATTGAGGATCCAGCTAAGGGTATTAACCACAGAATTTACAGTGGCATCATTTTCTGTGTAATAATTATTCTCAGTAAAGTTTTGCCAGGGGAGAGAGTGCCTGGGTGGCTCAGTTGGTTAAGCATCTGCCTTTAGCTCAGTCATGATCTCTGGATCCTGGTCCTGACACCTGAGCTCTGTGTCAGGTTCCCTGCTTAGCAGGGAGCCTGCATCTCCCTCTGCCTCTTTTCCTGCTTTTGTTCACTCCATCTCTGTCAAATAAATAAAATCTTAAAAAAATAAAATAAAATTATGACTTTATTGTGAAATCCCACACTGGCAACATACAAATCAGGATTTGTGAAATGTGTAATTTGACACAGGAGTCCTCCTAAGTTTATGATGACCACATTTCTTATGCAGTCATGTGTGGAGAGCCACTATTTGTCATATAACTATTTTGTTTTGAATAAATGGATTTAGATATGGTTTAAAAACATTTGTATTTATGTTTTCTTTTTTTAGGAGCAAAGAGGCCCCGAGTCACTTCAGGTGGTGTATCAGAGTCTTCTAGTGGATTTTCTAAGCACATTCAATCCAATTTGGACTTCTCTCCAGTGAACAGTGCCTCTAGGTAAGATAAATCAATAAAGACCAAATAATTATTGTATGTAATATTCCCATAAAAATAATGCATGTATATATTTTTTCTTGATAATGAATGTAATTTTTTATCAGTGTGAGAATGGTAATGTGATATAAGAAAAGCCTGATTGGTTTTATCTAAAGATATATTTTTCCCCATATCTTAATTCCTCAGTGAAGAAAATGTGAAGTACTCCAGTTCCCAGCCAGAACCACGGACAGGTCTTTCCGTATGGGACACTAGCCCTTCATATATTGATAAGCTGGTACAAGGGATCAGTTTTTCCCAACCCACATGTCCTGATCATATGCTCCTGAATAGTCAGTTACTTGGCACCCCGGGATCCTCACAGGTAAGGGAATTTAGTTTTTTCAAATAAATGATGAAAAACTTCTAGTTTTTTCCTCATAAAGCCTTTTGTTTTAATGTATAAATCTTAGAAATATAGTATTAACATTGTGCGTATATAGATTTTTTTTTTTTAAGGAAGAGATAAGAGGATGCTTTCCTGTATAAGAATCTTAAGTCACACAAAAAAATTTTCAGACCCAATAGCTATGAAATGACTGCTTTTGGTGATACCAGATTTATTCAGGTTTCCTCTGTTTGACATGTAGAACCCTTGGCAGCGCTTGGTGAAAAGGATGACACGATTTTTTACCAAATTGGATGCAGACAAATCTTATCAATGCCTGAAAGAGACTTGTGAGAAATTGGGCTATCAGTGGAAAAAGGGTTGTATGAATCAGGTATGTTTCATTGATTTTCCTGAAGAAAAATGTAAATATTTGAGTAAAAAATGATCATTATCAGTATATATTTTTTAAAAAAGCAATTGGAATTTAAAAGACTTAAGTAAAATGTTACTTACCTTAAGAAATAGTATTGAAAGTCTTCTTTAAGGTTGTTAAAAATATCAAGAGATGCAAGTCACGTTCTTGAAAACTGTATGTCCTTAAATTGTAAGAGTAACAAAGATTACCTTCTATGAAAGATGAATACATTAACAATCCCATACTTCTTCATCTCCCCTGCTCCCACCACCAATTTTTGTTTTATATTATTATAGCATATTTGTAATACTGAAATTCTAGTCCATCTTTAGGCTTTTCAAAAACCTAATGACATGAAAAACAATTAGACGAATATTCTGTATTAATGAGGCCTGACAAATAATGTAATGGCATGATCTTTTACTAGATCATGGTTTTAAAGAAGTGAAAGCTATAAAAGACATTATTGGAACAATTGAGGAAATTTGAATATGGTTTTTATATTAGATAATGTTTTTGAATCAGTGCCAAATTTCTTGGTTGTTATCATAATATTGTAGTTTTGTAGAAGAGGGTCTTTGTTCACAAGAGAAACATGTTGAAGTGAAGTGTATGTCTTGTATAGCTTGGTTGAAAAACTAAAAGAAAAAAAAGACAAGTAAACATACTTATCTAGGTTGATAAGACCAACAAAGGGTATATATAGTTGGTGATTCTTTCAGGTTTTTTTTTTTTTTAATAGCTTTGTAAGCTTTCAAAATTAAAAGTTAGGGGAAATTGTTACCATGCAGAAATCTGAGACCAGCCTGATTTTCCTCTAACTTATGTAGATAATTTACTTTTTTTTTTTTAATCAGATAGGTATATTGAGATGTAGTTCACGGTAACCTAAAAATCGTCATTTTAGCTATTTTAAAGTGTACAATTTAGTTGTTTTGGTATATTCACAAGATTGTGGTACCGTCGTCATCATTTTATTCCAGAACATTCCATCGTCCCCAAAATAAACTCCATACGAATTAATTAATAGTCATTCCTTATTCTTTCTTCCCTTCATTTCCTGGCAGCCACTGATTTGCTCTCTGTCCTATAGATGGCCTATTCTGGATGTTTCATATAAATGGAATTATATAAATGGCTTTTTGTGTCTGTCATCTTTTACTTAGCATAATGTTTTCAAGGTTAATCTATGTTGTTTACATTTGTCAGTACTTCATTCCTTTTTATGGGAGACTATTAGAATACAACATTATATGGATAGAATATTTTATTTATCCATTTTCTTGTTAATGGACTTTTGAGATGTTTCTACTTTTTGTCTATTATGAATACTGCTAAGAACATTTTTGTACAAGTTTTTTGTATGAACTTAATGTGTTTTTAGCTTGCCAGGGCTGTCATAACAAAATATCCAAACTGGGTGCTTAAACAGCAGAAATTTATTTTCTCACGATTCTAGAAACTGAAGTCTGAGATTAAGGTGCCGGCAGAGTTGACTTCTTCTTCTTTTTTTAAAAGAGGATTTATTGACTTCTTTGTTCATGAGAGATACATAGAGAAAGAGAGGCAGAGACACAGGCAGAGAGGGAGAAGCAGGCTCCATGCAAGGAGCCTGATGTGGGACTCGATCCCAGAACCCGAGATCATGGCCTAAGCCAAAGGCAGATGCTGAACTGCTGAGCCACCCAGGCATCCCAGGCAGGGTTGATTTCTTCTGAGGCCTCACTTCATGGCTTTCAGATGCTGCCTCTTGCTGCCTCCTCATCTCACCTTTCCTCTGTGTGCATGTGTACCTGGTATCTTTCTCTGTATTCTAATTTTTTATTAAAAAAATTTTTTTTGTAAAGAATTTATTTATTCAAGGGAGGCACAGAGAGAGGCAGAGATATAGGCAGAGAGAGAAGCAAGCTCCATGCAGGGAGCCCCACGTGGGACTTGATCCCAGGTCTCTAGGATCACGCCCTGGGCCAAAGGCAGGTGCCAAACCACTGAGCAACCCAGGCAGCACTTTTTTTTTTTTTTTTTCTTATAAAGCTATCAGTCATATTGGATCAGAGCCCACTAAGTGGTTTCATTTTAACTCTTATTACCTATTTAAAAGCCCAGTCTTTAAATACAGTCACATTCTGAGGGGCTAGGGCTTCAACATACGAATTTTGAGGGGACATAGTTCAATTCACAACAATATGTTTTCAATTTCTTAGGTATATAACTTGCTAATGGAATTACTAAGGCATATAGTATCTGTGTTTAACTTTTTGAGGAGCTGCCAAGTGGTTTTCCAAAGCAGCTGCACCTTTGCAGATTCCCACCAGCAATATATGTGTTAAGCATCTTCTTTCCCAGAACATTATGTTCCATTGTTGCACAATTGTGGTACACTGGTGTATTTTTTTTTTTTTTTTGGTCATTCCTTGAAATGAGAAGTTTTACAAATGTTTTTGTAATTTGCACTAATCTTATTTTTATTGCCTTAGGTTACTGTATCAACAACTGATAGGAGAAACAATAAGCTGATTTTCAAAGTGAATTTGGTGGAAATGGATGAGAAGATCTTGGTTGACTTTCGGCTTTCTAAGGTATGTCAAACAACATTTTTTAAAAAAAATTTGTTTTGCTGTTATTAAAGAAGTATTACATGTTCATTGAAGAAACCTAAAAAATATGAAAACACGTATAAAGGATAAAATAAGAATCAAGTTTAATCTTTTCCAGAGAGAATAGAGATTTTATACTGTATTTCATTATGGTAGTCTTACTACTTCTTTAGTATGTGCTATATGGAAATGCTCTTATGTAGAGATTTCTTTTTAATGGTATTATATTTGTATATACATGGCATTTGTAAATATATGGTAACTTGCTTTTTCTCATTCAGTGTTCTGAACATTCTTATTATCCTAAAATACAGATTTTTTTCAAATGACATTTTCCTTATTATAAAAGCTTTATTGTAGAAAATGTAAATAAGTAACAATAAAATAAAAATAATCCTGTTATATTGTCCACCAGTAATTACCCTGAATATTTTAAAGCATTCGAAGCTTTTTCTTATTTAATCCATATATATCTTAATAACAATTATGTTTGTCAAAATGTACAATATAATTAACCTTTATCATAAGTAAATCTGTGATTAATATTTGTATACATAGAGTCTTGTTCACATTTCTGATTATTTCTTTAGAAATTACTGGTTCTGAGGTTATAGTTTGGCCTTGATATATAAGAGCAAAATAGTGTTCTCTATGTTTCCTGAGATACTGTATATGGTTCTAAAGGAGATTAGAGAACTAGGTCACATTTTGAAATTGGAAATTTGCTGCATTGTCCAGATGCTTAGTATGAAATTAAATTATTAAGATCCTAGTGTAATGAAATTCTTCTCATAGCTGAATCACTGGCTTTGTTACCACAGTATTTGGACAAGACTTCAATGTAGTTGTGTAGCTTAATTTTGGTTTATAAACCCCCGGTACCTATGGAAAACAGTGATTTAGGTTCATAGACATAGATACCAATGCTGGACAGAGATAAGATGCCATTGTTTCTGCCTCTCTACGCTCAGTATAGTGGGAACAGTGATGGCCCAAAATCAAGTTGAAATTGTTTATGTAGCCATATCTTCTAGGATATTTAGTCTTCAGAAGAGGACTTGAAGGGAATTGTAGTTGGACATATCTATAAGTGTGTTTATCTCTACTTACCACTAAAGAGAGTTTGATTTTATGGCAGTCTCTTTTTTGATATTAATTTTTGGATATTATTCCTAATATAGGGAGATGGATTAGAATTCAAGAGACACTTCCTGAAGATTAAAGGGAAGCTGAGTGATGTTGTGAGCAGCCAGAAGGTTTGGCTTCCTGCCACATGAGAGATCCATTGGATTCCTGGTGAATATAGTGCTGCTACATTGACATTATTCTTCCTAGAGAAGATTATCCTATTCTGCAAACTGCAAACAATAGTCTCTGAAGAATTGTCTTCCCTCTAGCCAAACACTTTCAATTTTTTTGGTATGTTCTTCATACAAACAATACCTTACATCTTCATTGTAAGTAAAGCTTTGGGGAATGGATGGATAGAATTCATTAGATATTTCTCATCCTGTGTTTAGTTTCCAAAGACCCATGTAATGGAAACCAAGCTTTGAGGATACATGAACTTACCAACTTTTATACCACTGTAATGAAAGATGATATTCTTGTCATATTGTTAACAGAACATTTGGTTTTATCCAAAAAAGTAGGTGTTTCTCTATGTTGATTTAATTATATGGATGGATTAGTAATTAAAGCAGTCCTGTGACTTTTGGACAGTAGATTTATCAGTCTATAAAGTGAAGCCAACTTCAAAAAATATATCCTCAAAATTTATACTTATATTTTCACAAGGGCCTTACCAAGTATATAAATCTGTTTTTGGAGTATAACTGTTAATTGAAATTGCAAGTAGGTATGTTTTTTCCAGTGTAGTTAATATATAAAATACTGGTTGGTCTTTCAAGTATAAGTTGAGCATGGACTTTAATGCTTAACTACCTTTACTCTAAAATTACTATTGCACATTTTAAATATTTTTCTATATTATTTTCTACTTTCACAGCCATATTTTAATTCTTTATTACAGAAATAAATTCTATTTTGAAAATGAATAGCTAACTCTGTGGACTTCTTGGTAACCAAGCTTCTAGGTAGTAAGGAATAAAAGAGGGAGGGAGAAGTAAATAAGCTGTGAGAGAAATAGATCTGATTCCTAATTCTTTTACTATTAGATTTACTAAGACTCTGTTCTTTTAATAAAATTTATATTAATTTTGGGGTCTCCTGGGTGGCTCAGTTGATTAAGCATCTGGGTTAGGTTCGGGTCATGATCTTGGAGTCCCAGATCAAGCCCCACATCAGGCTTCCTGCTCATCAGAAAGTCTGCTTCTCCCTCTCCCTCTGCTCCCCCTGCTCACACCCTCACACTGTGTATCTCGCTCTCAAATAAATAAAATACTAAAAAAAAATTATATTAATTTTTGAATGTATTAGGTTTGGGACCTCTATTCCTTTTTCTTGGTAGTTTATAAAATTGATCATCTTAGTCTGAACCTAAGAAGGTGAAATTTTATGGTTAGAGTTTATCGCTTATTAGTGTATACTGGTGATTGTGTTAACACCATAGGAGAAAAAAATTTGAACAGTTAGGTGATTCCTAAGGTTGAGTTAGTAAATTCTCAAATATGAAAAATTTTGTTCTTGAAAATTATCATTAGTAACTCTCATAAACAAAGTTATCTTAAGCTTTGATCTCCCCCCTTGAACTTCAAACTTTACAGACATAGCCAAGCTGACATCTCCACTTGACTAATAGTGAACATGTGACCAAAACCAGCTGTTGGTCCCTATCTTCTGACCTGTTCCTCCTAAGTTTCTCCCAATTTCAATAAATGCTACATTCAGCTCTCCCCTTCCTTAACCCAAAACCCCTGGAATCTTTTTTGACCTAGTTTTGATATTCTACATTTAATTTGGCAAATCCTATTCAATTTAGCAAACTTATCCACAATCTATCTTACTTCACACCTCTACTAGAAGCACTCTAGTTGAAGGCATTGTCACCACTCTTTTCATACTACTTATCCTTCAACAGTTCAAAAAGTCAGTCAGAATGATATTTCTAAAACGTGAATCAGGGATCCTTCTCCTGTTCTCAACTCTCCTGGCTTTTCATCACACTTTTTAAACAAATTTCAAAATTTTCTCTCCCACCTCCTGGCTTTATGGGATCTGCCCTCTTACCAACTCCTGGGCCTCCTCTGCCACTCTTTTACGTACTCATCCTGCTCTGGCTGCATTTGCTTAGCTGTTCTGCTCACAATGTAGGCACATTCTCACCTCATATTCTTTTCCTTTGCTCTTTCCCTCTCTGTGGAGTGCTTTGGTGTGGTTTGTGTTTCACTTTAAGTCCTTGCTTAAATGTCACCCATTATGCAAAGTCTTTCTTTGACTTACCTAAAATATTATCCCACTTCTATCATTCATTCCTTTATTTTTCATCATAACAGTTATTGTCTGATGCTATATATTTTTATTTACCTATTAAATGTTTCCCTCATTGCAGTATGTAATATACAATAAGCTCCTTGAGGTCAGGGATCCTGTGTGTCCTGTTCAGTTCTCTGTCCCCAGCACCTAGAACAGTGCCTGATATATTATTACAGCATGCAATGAATAGTCGTTTAATGAAGAAATAGGCACTCCATTGATCCGGTCTATCCTCACAGTATATTTGGAAGCTGAACACTTCTGTCCATTTTGATTGCTGCCATTCTAGTTCAAGCTCCTTCATCTCTTCCCTGGATTTCTTACTAAAAACTGATGTCTTTCCACTTCCACTCTTGCCATTTCCCAACCTTCTTTTCCTCAAAGTCTTCTCTTGACATAGGTCCTAACTTGTTTTCTTTCTTTCTTTTTTTTTTTTTTTAAACTTGTTGTTTTCTTAAAGATAAATTGTAAGTCCTTGCTTAAAAACCTCCAGTGGCTTCCCACTGTGTCAGAAATGGAGTCTAAATTCTTTCCTTGGACTGCAAGATACACCATCTGTCCTCTTTGCTTATCATACTACAGGCAGAGTAGCCTTCTACTTTTACTGTTCATTAAGCATGCCAAAACTCATCCCCCTTTCAGGACTTTTTTTGGGGGGGGGGCTTTCAGGACTTTTATGGTTACAGCTGCCACTGCCTGGAACCCCTTCCAGTGGTTTGCATGACTTATGTAGTATTCAGATCTCAGCCCAAATGTTTCTGCTATCCCCAATCACTGTCCTCCTATTTTTTTTCATAGAACTGATTGCTATCTGAAATTATCTATTGTCTCTCTCCCCCAACAAAATGTAAACTTAGACTTCATCATCTCTTTTCCCCTTTGCCTACCTTTTTCCTTCTTCCTGCCCCTTTGTATATCTTGAAAGTGGAACAGTACTTGGAATATAGTAGGTACTAAATAAATATTTGTTGAATAAATGAATGAATTAAATATCAGATGAAGAAAATCCTACAGAATATTGTAAGGGGAAGGTGAATTGATGGAGAGTAAACAAACTCAGTTGTTGGAATTTGTGTAGAATGGTGGAAGAAGTTGCATTTAGACTTGGACAGATTAGCTCTCACATTTTTATGTGAGCATTGGCAACCGCCTCTGTAGAGAAACTGATAATAACTACATTTTAGAGTTGTTTTTTTCTTAAATGAGTTAATGTGTATGAAAAGTATAGTATACGGTGTTGCACAAAAGGCATTCAATAAACATAAGCTGCCATAATTTTTCTGCAGTGTTCATTATACTATTGGGAGAAAGTGCTTACTTCCATTATTGAGAGTGATGTTTGCTTATCAGTGAAAATTAGCAAAGTGTAAAAATGGGAATGGAATTATTGGCCAAAGATAACAGCTAAAATTTTGATGGGAAGATCAATGCATGCTGCATGTGTATGCATAGTGTAGTATGTATATTGGGTATGATTGTTGAGATACATATAAATATATAAAATGTGTATGGTTTAGTTAGAAAGTCAATGTCTGTTGATCAAACTCCATTGAAGAAACATCATTTCTGAACCCTCACAAGCCTTCCCTTGTTCCCCTTCCCACTCATAACCAACTCCCTTCCCCAGAAGTGATCCTAAAATTTATTTTTGTAATAATCCTTTCCTTGGTTTTTAGTTTTCTCAGCTATTTATGCATCTTTAAATGAGATAGTTTAGTTTTGCCTGTTTTAGAACTTCATATAAATGAAATTATGCTGTATGTAATTTTTATGTGTTGCTTTTTAATGTTCATTAGCATGAATAACTTGCATGTATCAAAGTCATTGATTTTAATTACTGTATAAGATGCCACTTAGGAATATACCACTAATTGCGTATTCACTGTATTGTTAATGGATGTTTGGATTATTTACAGTTTGATGCTATTATTAATACTCCTTTTGTTTTGTTTTGTTTTTTTGAAGATTTTATTTATTTATTTGACAGAGCACAAGCAGGGGCAGCGGTAGGCAGAGGGAGAGGGAGAAGCAGACTTCCTGCTGAGCAGGGAGCCCGATGTTGGGCTTGATCCCAGGATGCTGGGATCATGACTTGAGCCACCCAGGTACCCCTATTAACACTCTTGCTAAGAACACTGTTGTACATGTCCATGAACTTCTCTAGATCCTAGGGACTAGTATGTATACTTAGACAAGTGGAATGGATGGGTTTTAGGATATGCATATCTTCAACTTGAGTAGAATAATGGCAAACTGTTTCTAAAGTGATTGTATCAATTTATACTGCCATGAACAAAAGGATGCAATTGCTGGAAAAAGTTTGGAATAATCTATTACAGTATCACAATTTTCATAGCAGCAGAATATGTGTTTCTAGTATTTCAGACTTTCACCTCCATTTGATGCTGTCAACCTAATTTTTCCCAAGTTACTGGTGTGTAATATCTGGTGTTAATTTGCTCATTCCTAAGTTTAAATGAGATTGAGTATCTATGATGTGCCTCCCCTAGTCTTTTCCTAATTTTTTGTTGTTTTTTCTTTTTTCTTAATGATTCATTCAATAGGAAATAAAACCAGCGCCAGGAGAGGTCTTAACCAAACTATGTTAAAATTACAAATCTCCATAAAATGTGAAACAATAAGTCACAGAATGGGACAGTGTATATGCTACACATGCAATTGACAAAGAACTAGTATGCTGAACATATAAAGAAGTGAAATCATTAAGAAAAAAGAAAAAACAACAAAAAATTAGGAAAAGACTAGGGGAGGCACATCATAGATACTCAATCTCATTCATTCCTTCAGGATCATGAAGATTTTCTTGTATATTATTTTCTAAAAGCTTTATAGTTCTGGCTCTTACGTTTAGATCGACAATCCACCTGAAAGTGGATTTTGTGTATAATGTGAGGGTAGAAGTCAAGATTGATTTTTTTTCCCTCACTTGGCTATCCAGTTTAGCACTGCTTCATTGAAAAGATTATCCATTTCTTACTGTTCCCATTCGGTGTTTAGATTTACAGTTCTTATTTTTTATAAGACATTTCGGATCAGGATCCAAATAAAGCCCACATTAGTAATTGGCTGATGTATTTAATTTGTTTTTGGTTTATAAATTTCCCCTTAAGCCTCCTTCCTTCTTTCTGACTTTTTTTTCCCCTTGTAGTTTATTGATAGAAGAGTCCAGCTGATTTACTCTCTAATTTTCAGATTGTTTTACTGTGATATAGTTTCACCTGCTTCCTTTATTCTCTATGTTTCCTATAAATACATACTTTGGGATACTAGTCCTGTATCAATTATATATGTTGCATATAAGAATTTAAAATTATAGATTTTGGGCGCCTGGGTGGCTCAGTAGGTTAGGTGTTTGCCTTCAGCTCAGGTCGTGGTCTCACAGTCCTGGGATCAAGTGCCACATAGGGCCCTCTGCTTAGGGAGTCTGCTTCTCCCTCTCCCTTTACATCCTCCCTGCTTGTGCTCTTTCCCACTCTCTTTCAAATAAATAAAATCTTTAGGGACGCTTGGGTGGCTCAGTGGTTGAGCACCTGCCTTTGGCCCAGCCGTGATCCTGGAGTCCTGGAATCGAATCATCCCACATCGGGCTCCTTGCATGGAGCCTGCTTCTCCCTCTGCCTGTGTCTCTGCCTCTATCTCTCTGTGTCTCTCATGAATAAATAAATAAAATCTTATAAATAAATAAAATCTTTTTAAAAATCATAGATTTCCTTTAAAGTACCACTTCACGCCGTACATTTTCATGTGTTGCATGTTATCTGGCTCAAATATTTCTAAACTCTGTATGAATTATTTTTTGACAGATAGATTACTTAGAATTATGTTCCTGATTATCCAAACTTTCAGGAATTCCTTTTATTTAAAAACTATTATTATTATTATTTTTTAAAGATTTTTTTTTTAATTTTTATTTATTTATGAGAGAGAGAGAGAGAGAGAGGCAGAGACACAGGCAGAGGGAGAAGCAGGCTCCATGCACCGGGAGCCCGATGTGGGATTCGATCCCGGGTCTCCAGGATCGCGCCCTGGGCCAAAGGCAGGCGCTAAACCGCTGCGCCACAAACCGCTGCGCCACCCAGGGATCCCGTCCTTTATCTTTTTATATGCATTTCAGGATATGCATTTCAGGATAATCTTGTCTGAAGCTAAAAGATTTGCTGGGTTTTAGTTTTAATTGTGATAAAAATATATGTAACAAAATTTATCATCTTAGTTATTTTTTAAGTGCTGGTTCAGTAGTATTTAGTACATTCACTCTGTTGTATAATCATCACCATCATCCATTCCCAGAACTTTTTTATCCCTCTGCACTCAAACTCTTGTACCTCTGAAATAGTAACTCCTCATTTACCCTTCCCCACTAGCTCCTACCATTCTACTGTCTATTGCTCTGAATTTGAAAACTTCTAGTCCCTTATATAAGTAGAGTCATACAATATTAGTCCTTCTGTGTCTAGTTCATTTCACTCAGTATTTGTTTTCAGGGTTCACCCACATTTCAGTATATATCAGATTTCATTCCTTTTAAAGGCTGATATTCCATTGTATTTATTAAGATGTTTATCTGTTTATCCTTTGATGGACATCTGAATTGTTTGTACTTGTTGGCTACTGTAAATAATGCCGCTGTGAACATGGGTGTACAAATATCTATTTGAGTCTTTGCTTTCAGTTCTTTTTGGGTATATACTTAGAAGTGGAATTGCTTATTATATGGTAAATCTATTATCTATTTTTAATATATTGAGATAATCCCATATTGTTTGCCATAGTGGCTATACAATTTTACATTCCCACCATCCTAAAGTTATAGTAATATATTTAAAATTAACAAAATTAATTAATTTTGTCATGAAAGGACTCTAGTCCTCTACAGCTTTGTTTCTTTCCTTCCCCATTTTATTTTACTGTCACAAATTACATCTTTATATATTATATACCCATTAACATAGATTTACTATTATTTTTATGCATTTATCTTTTTTTTTAAGATTTTATTTATTTATTCATGAGAGACATAGAGAGGCAGAGACACAGGCAGAGTAAGAAGAAGCAGGCTTCATGCAGGGAGCCTGACGTGGGACTCGATCCTGGGTCTCCAGGATCAGGCCCTGGACTGAAGGTGGCACTAAACGGCTGAGCCACCCGGGCTGCCACCCCTGCATTTATCTTTTAAACCCTGTGCAAAAGTGGAATTCTAATAATTTTTTCTCTGTACATAACATTTCATGTTTCTCTGTTTTGGGGATTTTTTTTTTTAGTACAGAGGTCCCTCAAAAAATTAAAAATAGAAATACCACACAATCCAGTAATACCATTTCAGGGTATTTACCAAACTCCCCTTGCCCTCCCGAAAAACACTAATTCAAAAAGACACATGCATCCTATGTTTATTGCAGCATTATTTAAAATAGTCAAGATATGGAAGCAACCGAATATCTATTGACAGATGAATGGATAAATAAGATGTATACTGTGTGTGGGGGTGTGCCTCACCCATAAAAAATGAAAATTTGCTGTTGAGCACTGAGAAATAAGTGGTGGATGGGGGGATGTGTAGGGGTTAGGCACAATGGGGTAAGTAGGAATTACTGCCTGATTAACAGTTTGGAGGTCTTGGACAAGACAGTAGGACTTACCTGATTTTTTGATGTTTAAGAGTGTTGCGGAAGGATTTGGCAGGTTTTAGGATGTGAGCTGGAGGGAATTTGGAAATAATGGGCTTTAATCCCTGAAGGCCTGCAGGATTTAGTGGATATTGTGGCTGATGAAGCATAGCGCAGGGATTTTGGAGTATGACTGTGACAGGCGTACAGTGAGTGGCTGTAGTGGGTTCCTCTTAGAGTGGGTTCCGTGGTGTACTGTGGGATTCACTTAGGGGAGGAGGGTGGATAGAGGAGATAGAGGGGAGAGAGAAGCATCTAGGCAGCACAGTAGTATGAAGGGGGTTGCATTGGAAGGTACAAATTGGAGGGAAGCATGGAATTTACTTAGGATGTCTCTCCCTAAGTTTTTAGTGGGGCATTGTGGGGTGACTAAAATGCAGTGAATGAAAGGAATATCAGAGGTTGCAGAGTAAAGGGCCAGTCTGTTTGTGTGTAGGGGGTATCCACCCTAACAATAGAGGTGGAGGGGGCTGGAAAATCTGGTAGGACTGAGAATGTTGCACCCACGTCCAATAAGAAATAGATGGGCTTACCAGATACAGAACCCTGGGTTCTGAGGCAGTGATGATGGTGGGGGCCACAGACTCCCAGCCCTGTCAGTCTTTGGTGGCCAGACCTAGTAGGTTTGCCAGGCTTAGATTTGGGTTGGTGGGTTGGTTTGAGTTGGAATTGGTTGGATGGGAAAAGAATCTCGCAGAGCACAATCCGACTTCCAGTGCCCCTTTTTGCCACATATAAATCCTGTTGTGGGGTTTGTGGGCTATCTTCCAATTTTTGGAGTTTTAAGAGATATTTGGTCCAACTGTGAAAAGAAGTGTAAGTGAAAACAGATTGTTTCCGTGTCTATGTTGGCAGTGACAGCAGTATATCTTCTTAGAGCTTTTGAAAGCTGGGACTAGGGGCACCTGAGTGGCTCAGTGGGTTAAGCATCTGCCTTTGGCTCAGGTCATGATCCCACGGTCCTGAGATCCAACCCCACGTCCAGCTCCCTGCTTATTGGAGGGAGCTCCCTCTGTCACCCCCCCCCCCACTCATATTCTCTCTCTCTCTCTCTCTCTCTCTTTCAAATAAATAAATAAAATATTTTTTTTTAAAAGCTGGGAGTAGAAGAGGGCAGGGTTTTCATTAGGGCCCTGGGTGACTTTTTGTATCTTTATAATTGACAGCCTTGAGGGCAGTCTTATTCATGCCAGCCGGGAGGTAGATAATCATGTGGCCCCTTCTCTCTCTTTTGGGTATATTGGGGCTGGTAGTTCCATTCAGGATCAATTTTTGGGACAGTGATGGCTCCAGTAGGGTTGTGAGTGGTGTCCTGTTGATGGAGGATGTCTGCATGAATTTGAGCTGCTACCCAGATACTTCCCAGATTCTTCTTAGGGGAGAGGGTAGACTAGAAGATGACATAGATGTTGTGGTAGGTAAGATTATAGGATTGGTTGATGTATAGGAATTCTTTTAGAAAGGTGGTAGGTGCCCTGAGGAAGGAGCCCAAGCACTTTCTATTTGAATAAGGTCAGCAAGGGAGAGTGGGACCTGAATGTGAACAATGCCTTTTCCTCCCCTGCCACTTCCCTGAGGAAGAGCATGAGATTTTTTTTCAGGGGGTTGGGGGAGGAGGTGCTAAGGGTTGGGCTGGAGAGGGGGCTGATAAGTGAGGGGTGGTAATGGGGCCATTGTGTCTGCCTGATTGAAATTGCAGGTGGAAGGTTTCTTCAGGAGGGAAGAGGGGAAGGAATGGGGGTTTTCTGTTGTGAAGGACTTGACAAGTCGAACAGGGTTGACAGGAGAAAATCTAGATTAGAGGTAGACAAAGTCCTGGATATAAGGAATGTCGGATTATTTTCTCTTGTGTTGGAGAAAGTTTCTGAAATCATGCTATATTTGGAAATTTAAATTGCCATTTTTTTTTTTTTGGACCAGTGATTATCTAGTTGGTACTGAGGACAGGCCACATTGCAATAGAAAATGAGATGTTTTGGCTTAATGCTAGAGGTTGGGCCCAAGATATCCAAGAGGTGTCACAAGGGGGTTTGGAGGGGATCTGACCCATGATGGAGGTTGACAAGAAGAGGATTCTAGTCCCCAAAGAAACAAAAAATATGGGAGAGGCATCCCCACAAACTTCTATTTTTTGAAGGAAGGCACAACCAGAGGGCATCCCCTGAGAGCACCCGCTAGTAGCTAGGGAAGCATCTCCCAGGTGCTACCTGTGCCCAGATTCCTGGCAGGCAATCAGAAGATCTATGAGCCAGTTCCAAGAAGGGAAATGAGAAGACACCTGCATGAAGACAGCCAGTGTTGGATGTGATGCCCAGCAATGGGAGGTGGTCCCGGTCAGAGCCCCTGGGAAGAGAAGAGAAGGAAACAACGGGGAGATCAAGGCCAAGAGACAGGGTCAGAAGCAGGGAGCCCAACCAAGATTCGAGAATTAGTCCCAGATGGGCGACTGCAGCCCGCTGCATCTTGAGTTGCAAGATATAAGGGGTTTGTCGCTGTCGAGAGAGGGGTTTCAGCACCAAAATTTTAGGTTAACCCACCAGCAAGGGATTAAAGAAGAGAGAGAGAGGAACTGTGGCTCTATGGCAAACGCATGTTTTATTGTGGAAACAGAAACCTGGAGAGGGGGTCCCCAGCTAAGGCTGGAGCCCTCGCCACTTACAGGCTGAGGGGTCCTTACAGGTTAGGGTTCAGGACAAGGCCCTTGCTAGAGTCCCTAAGGAAGATCACCTCATGGTTAGACTTTTCGTTAAACAGGATGTTTGGTTTAGTGTTTTGTTTTGTTTTTCTCAGCAGTAGTCTGGGTGCCCATCCTTATCTGAGAAATCTGTTCTCACGCTCTATTGAGGAGCATGTTCTCTAAATATGGGCAGTCACATGGTGGTGTGTGCTCACCCCCCTGAAGGCAGGTAGGAAGGCTAAGGTTCCCACCAGCCTTCTGTTCACTCTGCAGTGAGAGT